TGTGTTTTATGAGTAAAAAAGACTTTCGTTTTTCTATGAAAACCATCAAGCGTAATCTCAGTAGAGGACTTTTAAGGACATTTTCAACGAGTGTATATATAAAAACTGTGATGGCTAGATGTCAATTTATGTCTTAATTAAATGTTTATAAAGCGAAAGTGAATGTAAATAACAAAATAAATTAAAAACTGAGAGGCTCGCCTCGTAATAATTTATGATGAGTAGATACATGAGAGAAAAAGCAATATATTGATAAATCCTATTGCAAAATCCATCTAATCTCACTTTATCCCTTTTAGCAGACATATGGATTATGCAAACGGTGTTTTTAAAATCCAAGTTTAAAGCATATATTTCTTGATTATATCATCTAGAAAATCAGAATTTATATGTGGATTGTAATTGATTGTATCTATTTTAACTTTGCTTCTAAGGCATTGTATATCTTTTGAGCCAAGGTTGCTATGTTTATTAATGTGGAGTGTTCGCTATTATATTTTACACCATATTTGAAACTGTTATAATGTAATAAAAAACTGTCATAAGTTTTTTTTTATGAAATTATTACAATAAGATATTTACATTGTACATACATACATATACCCGTTTGTATAATACATTAAACATTACAGATTTTTATTTCATCATTCACTGAAATAATTTAATAATGAATTTTATTAAGACTTAATAATTATACTTTAAAATTGTTCTGTAATACTTATATATTAAGACCTATTATTAAATTTGCAAGTTATCTCACTCACGAATTTCAATAATCGAATTTACATTCTAAAAACTTCATGTTATTCATATTACTTTTTCAGGAATCAATAAAAACTGTTTTATATAAAAACAGATGAGGATTTTTTTTATTAGTAGTTTAGTATTCGTGTTGTAAGAAATTAGATAAGTTATACTCTTCATAGCTTATTAATAAAAATTATGAGAAAAACCGTCATAGACTAATTTTATTTTTGTAAAAAAACGTACATATGATATATTATTTAACATAAACAATCACGCATCTGTCAGACAGTTTTTTCCTAAAATACGCACTTTATTTATAATAACCATTTCAGAAAATAAACACGTTGGAAAGAGTTTGACTTGAGGCTAGAATGATGGACTGAAGCAAAGTTATCATTTAGAAATCTATTAATATAAGATAAAAAATATTGAAAGACTAATATTATACTAACGTAGAAGTATATTCTGGATTTTAACGAATCCACTCTAATTTATAGCATCAGGGAGTCCAAGGAAATGTTATTTTCGTAGATTTTTATCAAAAAACGTAATAAATTACATTGTTAATGACAATGGTGGCTATGTTGCAAGTTACTGAGGCCGCGCCAAATGTTAACCGGTCGACTCATGACGGATAATTACAAATGTACTTACGTCATGGACATATTTGCGTTATAATACAACAATTTAATCTAACGATTCTTTGAGTTTAATATATTTCGTTGTGATGTTTTTGTTTAACCCTGCTCTAATAAAATGGAGCGGCCGTAAATTTGCGACCACATATTAATGTGCCATTATAATTTTTGATTATAATTTTATTCTTCAAACTTGTAGTTTATAAAGGACGATTAAATATATAAATCTTAGTACAAATGAACTCTAGTGCTCCAGTTCGTATGGAGGCTGGAATGATAAATACAGTACCAGCTTGTTCTGGAAGACTGACCTTAACTTGCTATAACAAATGCTCTAAGTGTCAATCACTCTTGTCATAAACAATTCTATCCTATATTTCCCTCTTATTTTCGTATAACCTCCAGTGTATGAACTTCAGATGCATATGACAAAGACAGCCAATTATCATCACGAGTACTGTCGACGCATTTTACCTTTAACAAAATAAAATGTTTTAAATTTTTTGAGTGAATAAATTTTCCTTTAATATGAATTCATATTATCATGATTACATTTACTCCAAATTCTGACCATTAAATATTACATGAACAGTTATTGCGGTAATTAAAGCTTACATATACATTAGGGTGGGTTTCACGATGTTAATGTCCAACACTGAAGTATCAACTCCTTATGATGTTAAGTATTTACTGTTGGTAGACCTTTTTTAAATGCTCTGAAGATTATATGTATGCAGTATTTTCTTATAATATAAGACAATTAAAACCTACAACAGTTAGTAATGTACTTTTAAATATTGCGACTAAACTAACTAACTTCATTTACATCTACATTTTTGATTTTCTCTGCAGCAATAACCACAAAATAAAAAAATATAAAACTCTTTCCATCTCACGCACCACATCCGATCCAAATCCGACCGAATTTGGACCAATGCCAAAACTTAAATGTCAGACGTTGCGAAGGGCGATTTTACGGCTTCCGCATCCGTTTAGACTTCTTGTTTTGATATCAGGTAAATAAAATATCATATAAGTTTATTGTTGTTTATAGATTTTTCTTATTGTATATAGTATTTTCTTTGGATTACCAATACCAAGAAAGATGAATTTTATAACGCTTCCAAGACAGAATTCAGAATAAGTTTTAAACGGATTTTTTTTGCAGTATTAGAGATAATATATAATTATAATTAATTGCTAAGTTTAGATCTTTAATGATATATTTTTGCTCTTTGTTGTTTTGTACTGCTGTTACTTGGCCCGTGAGAACAGCGTCAATATAATGACTTAAGTCAAGGCTGTCATAAAAATATTTTATTTGCCGCCGCATTGAAAAAAATGTATATAAGAATAGGCTGTTTTATAATTTGAATAGTAGACAGACAAGTAGCAAAAAAATACTTTTATAATATAAAGAATTAATTGTTTTGTATATTTATTTTAAAGGAAAAAATGACTTGTTAATACAGAAGTCTGAACAATGTCTTTTATAGTTTGTAATTTTTAGCTTGCATACGAGCTGTATAATATTTTTGACAATTAACGTGCATTAAGTGCATGTGGGTCACATGTGTTAGTATGCAACTATTATAAATATTGTAAACCAAAGGACGCCCGCTTTCTAAAAGTATGTGCTTGTGCCTACTGCAACATTCGGCTACTGTGCAAGTTGCATTTAACAGAAGTTGTTAAAATAAAATGGATACATCATTGTCTAAGAAAAATAACAAAATTGTACAAATTTCATACCGAACTTTTATAAGTACCTACAATTATTATTAAATTAGTATTTTTGTTGCTATAAAGAAATTTTTGAGTGACCAATTCCTTTCACCAGTTTAAAAAATAAACCATATATTTTTTTAATATCGGATATGTGGAAGATATGTATTTATCTTAGTGAAAACTTATTTCTAATAAAATATAAATTTAGTTAAAATATTATTTCTCATTTTCTTTCACACAACTGTTTTGCTCTTTTTTTTTGTTAAGGCGTTGAATGCTAAATATATTTCTAGTTTTAAGGCTTCATCTACAGCACTGGAACAAGACTTTTCAATTTTATTATTGTTTCAGTTGAAATATGATTGTATATTTATTGTGAGTGCGATAACTATAAAAGGAAAACTACAATTGTAGTGAAAAATTAAACAACAATTAATTTTTATTAATTTAATTCAAATAAAACGAATAAGTAATGAACGCCTACAATATTTATTGTTTGCTCATTCGCAAAATAAAAATCAAGAAATAACAACAAATAAAAACAAGTACGAAAAACTATATAAAAGTTAACAATACTGGTAAATAAGGATATGGTAAACATCAAACATTTTATTACAACAATAGCTAACAAGACTTGAATCAAAAGCAGAGTATAAAAGATTATAATAAGTTAATCAATAAGAATCAACATAGAATATGGTTTAGTTTGCTTGTTTTTCTGACAGCTTAATATTAGGACTAGTTTCTTAGTATATTAGCAAGCATTTTTTAAATTAATTAATTCCATTTAAACTTAAAGATCTTGTTTACAATTTTTTATTTATTATGATTCATAGATTGAATTATTCTTAGGGGATAATTTAATTTCACACGTCAAATACTTCTAGCTTCTTAATTCAATCTATCATGATCCGTCAATCGTAATCCTCGTCATAAAATTTTGTGCTACCATTAGCTTTATTCATTTTGTATCTTTCAAAGGAATCCATGCTAAAAGCACTGTCTACGTCTGTGATTTCACCAACTATCGTTTCTTGGTGGTGGTGGAGGTCTGCAATAAAGTTAAGGAGTTTTTTGTAATATTATATAAATTTGTGCCCAAATTCATATTTTAAAGCAAGTCCATATGTACACGAGATAAAATATTACACGCAAAAGAAACGAAAAATAATTTCTCATGGTTTGTGGTTACGAATTTCACGCAACATATTATTTATAGCAACTCTGACAAAATATGATACCATAAAATCATATTTTTAAACAAAAATATATCACAAAATGTTTATACATTGTTATACATTATTTCAACGATATTTAGTTTCAAACAACGTATGAGTAATAATAATCTTAAATTTTAGTGCAAATTACACGTTACACTCAACTGACATCAAATATGTTTTATATTTATCATGGAAAATTATGAAGTTAATCATAATAGCTGAACTTAATAAAAAAAAATCAAGCAACAATATTAAGTTGAGAACAGAATTTACAATGAAAAGAAATACTGGTTGTTATAATATTGTTCTTGCTTAAATGTTAAAAAAATAATTTGAACTTGAGAATTTATTCTTTAGTAATAAAATAGCTACAAGCCTTAGCCACGTGAAAGGAATTATTTTTAAATAAAAAACTATTATTAAATTTTCATAACAAAACATTCCACGACGTTCTTTTATATATTTTTTATGTTTTGTTAAATAATTTGTTAAGGGTTATTTATATTCAAATAGCTGAAAAGTATTTTTTTCGTAATACTAACGCACATATGTATATTCTAAACCAAAACAATTCACAAAGTAACTAATTTTGAAAATATAATAAAGCTAATACTTTCAATAACACAATTTCAATGTCATTTTTGTTAATATATCTATAAGTAATTTTCTACGAAGTAGAGGGTTTACTTCATTGAAATTGAGTCGGTAATTCAGTATAATTTGATTTTTAAATGTAATTGCATATAAATACCCGGGAGTGTTCCAGCCACTGTCGTCACAGGGGGCTGTCGCTGGTGTACCAGGTTCCTGTCTGTTTGAATTATCATGTTAATAATAAATACATAGTCTTTAATGAGACCATTTAGGTTAAGCAAACTATGGTTAGAAACATTCATTCATTTTCAGAAATTAAGATCATCTCATCTCATCGCATCCGAGCGTGATCAGATTTCTAAAAAGTAATCGAGAAATCTAATGCTCGCATCACGTCAAATAAAATCTGTAATAAGTAATATACACCCAAACTATATATACAGCAAAACGTTTGATATCTGTTCAGGTTTAAAAGTAATTTTTATTATTGTACGGGTCACGGTCGATGGTGATGACTTACATAATTATAAAATGATGGTGATGACTTACATAAATATAAATTTCATATTTTTGTTAAACTATGTGTTAGTTGATATAATCGTACTATATAAAAAAGAGTCGAATTGGGATTTTTTTGAAGTCGCTTAATAAAGTATAAGCAATTTCCTTATTCGGATCCAAGGATTTATTTTCTAACTACGAAAAGGAAATCTAACTTAATCTTCTTGGTTTAAGGTATTACAATATAAGTTTTTTTTTATGGTATCCATCCAAAAGTATTACATTTTATTCGTTAAATATCTGTTTATTATTGTACATTTTTAAGGATTTCTTATTGAACGATTTTTGGATTTCTATTGTATTTCTACCATACTTACCCTAAATGTGTTAAAGTTAATGTATCCAGAGCTCTTAATTTTTTACTGTATGTTCTCCAAAGTTTAACGCAAAGCGGAGTGAACACTGCACACCAGATACATCCCAACAAAAAGCCACAGAACCACCAGCCATGCTGAAATCCGTGGATATTATATAAATGTATATTTTCAAACAAATTATTTACAATATCGGATAGTAAATTAAAAGAATGTGTTGAAGAGATAGCATTTGGTTGCTTTCATTTAGTTTCCTTGGTTAGTTAATTAATTAATTCGATTTTGAAGACAAGGGTTTTTGAAAAGTAAATTTAAAAATCCTTTATAAACATCCAATTAAAAGTGTTATTGTAGATAACGTCTTATTTTTTTATAATTCGTGAAGATTTTTAATATAATCTCTGATTAACAGCTCAAGAGCTATTTAAACATATTATAAAGTTTAAAATAATGAAATGGATAAGAAAAATGTCATTTACATTATCTTCTATCTTCTATATATATAAAAATGGATTGCTGTTCCTTAGTCTTGCTAAAACTCGAGAACGGCTGAACGGATTTGGCTAATTTTTTGTCTTGAAATACTCCTGGAAGTCCAGGGAAGGTTTAAAAGGTGAGAAAAATTGATTCATTACTGGGAAAACCATAAAAACAGCTCTTTTCTATTTCCCATACAAAAGTTTTTTTTGACATTAGATTTGACAACTAACAAATATGTCAATTCTGTTTGATTGAAACAGGAAAAACCTGATTATTTATGGCCTGTAAGACGGAATAGAGTTCGACTGGTCAGCTACACCTACATATATTACTCTTGAACAATCTAACGCGGACGAAGTCGCGGGCAAAAACTAGTTATATATACATTTACATATGTATAGTGTCAGTGGTGGCCTACTGATTAAAAGGCCCGCGTTTCATGTTCGAGGGCGTTAGTTCGATCCTGGCAAGTACCATTGTGGTTTTTCCAAGTCATATGTACTTTGTGAGAATATTTAGACACCACTGACAGACGGTGAAGGAAAACATCGTGAGAAAATCTGGACTTATGATTTCACAATTATATGGTTACGAACACTTCCACGACAGAAAATACCGGAACGCTCAAAACAAGACGAACCAGGCTGAGGAAAACGGACAACCGATTTAGCATGCGATTTGGAACATGGAACATACAGAGGAAGGCCGAGAAAGAGATGGTGCGACTGCATCGAAGATGATCTCAAGGCTCTGAAATGTTTTACGAACTGGAGAAGGACAGCCAAGGATCGTCGCGCATGGCAGTCTATTGTGGAAGAGGCCAAGACCCACAAAGGGTTGTAGCGCCGAAGAAAGTAAGTAAGTAAGTATGTTTGAAATCACCAATCCGTCTTGAGCAAGCGTGGTGTTTAACGCTCAAACCTCTCCATGTGAGAAGAGGCCTTTGCTCAGCAGTGGGCTCAGATAGGCTGACGACATATGTGTACAGTTTTTAGTTGATTTTTAAATGTTTTTCAAGTTCTGAGCTAATATAATTATTTATTTTTGAATAAAAATCATACCAATGAAGACACATATCTGGTGCACACGAGCGATCTGATTGCCGCGAACACATCATAGAGCGGTCGACAGCGGCCGGCGTGTTGTCCCGCTGCGTCTAACACGTGCGTTCGCCAACCGGCCGTGTGTGATAAAAGACGGGTAATGAACGTTGACAGTTTCTAAAATCGTGTGTTGAATTTAGATGAGATAATAGAATTTATAAAACTTTTGTGTTGGAAAAATTCCTTTACAACACCACGTAATTCACGTACAGAAATAAACACATGTTTTCAAGAAACTTTTTCGAAAAGGTTAATAAGTAACGGGTATGAAATTTAGAACATGATTTATGTTGGTAAAATAGGAAGTTCTTAAAAATATATTATTTTATGAACCCTATTACGTTGACATAAGTATACCGTAGACGTTTTTAACGAACACGGTATAATAAAGATTATTTTAATAAGTTAAAAAAATAAGACATAAACAAAATCCTTTTGTTTATTTATGCTTTTCTTTGCACTTATTTTGATAGCATTTATTACGGTAAAAATTAAAACTCGCAGTGTAAAATAATTAATATCCAGCACGTAACACACTAATTGCTTTTTGTGTGTATTTGTGACTCGGACGTGTCTGAATACGGTGCCAAAGAGCTTAATTATTTTTGTAAACAACTTTAATTAATAGACTTAATATAATAAAGTAAGAACAACAATTCTTATTCATTAAATTATGCAGAAGTATCTGAATTATCTTCGAAAATCCTTGAAATATTCATGATAAAAAAGGGTTGTACTTGTTTGCATACTAAAAGCCAATAACTACCTTTTGGGCAATGACCTCTCCTTGATTATCAATATAAAACTGCGCTGTGTGGATATGACTTAATGAGATGTTTAATTTCCGCCTAAAAGGCATCATTTGCAATTCAAGTTCGGTCAGTTTGAACACTAGTTCTGTTCGTAGATGTTCTAGTGGCTTTATGTTCGATAAATGAAGTCTTTGAGTCCGCGTCGCTGGAAAACATAGTAAAAACCTTTTGAAGTTTATTTTCTAAGACCTTATATCTATATGTATAAAAGTGTATGCTTCGATATAATGTAGTACATATATTTGTAGATACGTGGAAAAATAAACTACATTCAGTACCTAGAGTCTCTAATCTTCCAGCTGTATTTAAATCTGTTACTTGAATCGCAACGTTTTCCAGTTGATCTACAAAGGAAGGTAAATCCTTTCCTACGACGGGTCCGTTATATTCCATTCTGAAATAGGTATTTTCGCTCACATAATATCAATGTAAAGATTTTTGAATTAATATGAGAAGAATAAAATATTATAAAATGTTTAATAAGTTTAACAAATACTAACTATCTACATTAAAAAAACATTACCTATATTTCGTTAAATTGACGTCTGATATAACAAGAATCCTATTGAGTAACTTATTGAAGTTATCTGATATCGTCTTCAAGAAACCAACATCAATAGAAGCGGATAATCTTTTCAAGTCATCTTGTAGTTCGTCCCACTCAAAATAAGACGTCTCCTTGTTCACGTCTAGTATTTTTTCTAACTGGAACACAATGTAAGCGGGTTCGTTTTTTTCACATTCTCTGGAATTGTTACAATTTCTTAGTAAATGGAGGCTGATATAAATGTTAAGATTTCTATCCGAATTAAGATATATTCATAAGTAAAATATTAGCAATTCACGTTTAAAAGATATTGCTATCAGTTATGTAAAGGAAATTTATATAAAAATAACTTCCGTGTCAGTTGTACGTGAAAATAATATTTTTTGTTTATAACATTCATATGTAGACAAACCTCAGAACGTCTTTGACTGACACTTCTATTGTAACATTGTCAAGATCTTGAAACAAAGCATCAAAGATACCCTTATTGTCGGTTAGAAGAGGCGATGGCCTATTTAGTAATGATGACAGCGTATTGTATTGTGGAGAATCCCAGAGAATTTGACAGGCAAACACCTAAAATGTAACAGATTCAATACGAAAGCCAAATGTTTGTTTCATAGCGACGTTGCATATGTTTAGGTGACATGTAGTTAAACCACACAGAGTAGGCAGGTACACTAATTAATGAGGTTGCATTTATTTAAAATATCTATTTTCGAAATAATACGAATAGTAGTTAATTCGTTTTACAATACAAGTAATGTATTTTTAATGACCTACGTATTAGCTTGTTGTAAGTTTTAAGATACAAAATAATAATAACATCATAATTAAATTATAGTTGTTTTTAACTTATAACATTGGTATTATGTTTTAAAAGTTTCAATTTTTATGGAATAAATATACCTCAGCATGTCCTGAAATCAGGAATACAGCTGAAACCATACTCCACAGGATGATGGAAACAAAGCAAATGCAAAAGGAAGACCTGCAAAAATGCATGATATTGAGTTTAAAACGAAGTATATTTTAGTACCAATATTTTATTTATAACACATTTCAAAATAAAAGATTAAATTAAATTATGATATTTTAATGTACTCACACTTGTAATGTTCTTTTTGCGTGGATTTTTGCATTTCCGCATCCACAAAATATTGCCAGTAGAATGAGTAACATCACAAAACCGAATGCAATATTGCAAGCTGCGGAAAAATTATTATTTTCTGGGTGTTATTAGTTTAAACATTTTCTGGGTTGCATTAGTTTTTTTTTATAAATATCAAATTTTCGGCAAGCCTAAATAAATTCTCAATTACACTTAAATTCCTTAGTCAAACTTAAGTTCTTAATCTTAAAACATTACATCACAAAAAAAAAGCTTTCAATATGTTAAAAACATATTTATAGCCTTCAAAAGATTTATATTGAGATCAAACAAAGAAAAAGATTTCTTGGTCTCATAGGAAGAAATTATTTCCCCGTTATGAAGCGCCTGTTTATTTAAAATATATTTTGTTACATATTTCATTCAGTCAGAATCATTGACAATTCACTTATTACGCCAGCGTAACCGGGGAATAAATTGTTAGTAGAACAATGGTGTTAAGTACCAAATGCTGACTCTGAGCCATCGGTATGAATGGGAAAGTGAAGACGACACCCCACGCCTTGTACCATCGCGTCGGTGGGAAAGGCAAATGGGTTTCAATTAATATTCAGTCTAGAGTCAATCGTTGAACTTAAAGATACTTTCATTGTGAATTGAATATAGTTTTATAAGCAAAACGATTTTTCTTGCTTCTTTCGTTGCCACAGACGTTATGTACTAATATACATTGGATACATAACAATACTATGTTTTGAAATGTTACACCATTTATAGAAAAGTTCTTATGGTGTTTCCAACATCGCCATGAGGCATTTTATGATAATACATATTGTATGTACTTTAATAATACTACCTAAAATGTAACAGATGCAATAAATAAAGCGAGGTGTCCTTAAGAATGTAGTAAATAACAAAAGGTTTGCAGACTGGAGTTGTGTAATTTAACCGAACTGCTATCTGCTTCCAAAATAAAAGTTTTGAAGATTATACGGTGACAATATAGTCATAAAACGAAAAATGTGAACTAATGAACATTTCAGGATAATGAGATTAAATGATTTATTAGATTTTGATTTATATACATATATTTAAAAATGTACATTTTACGAAAAAATAATCAAAAATTAGGAACTATTCGTGAATCTAGAGCAAAAGATTAGTAATTTTATAACAGCATTATAAAACCTTTCAAGCAAAAGAAAGCGGGGAATCAAAAATATCAAATTTTTACCGTTTGTTTTGGTTTTATGCATTTTACATCCCTAGGATAACTTTAAATTATTTTACATCTAATTCGCCTCATTTGGAAGACAATTACGATGTTGTTAATAGCTAATACTTTCCAGTACATTAAGTGAGACTCAATAGAAGAAAAAACTTTTATGGCGATTACAACTAGTTTATTTCGCATCGAGGTGTTTGGTTTAATTTTTTTTAGCATGATTGATGTGACTCCAATCATGATTGCTTGTGATCCTAACAATAAATGTATTTTATATAACGCAATATTAGAATTAAAACTGTTGAGATCAAGAAATCTTTTTAAATAAAACAAGGCAATAAAATTTGAAATGATTAAACTGAGAGATCTCTTCACTGTAGCCAACATAAACTGCTGATCCCTAAGGTATAGATTAATGTTTAGATTTCCTCATGCATAATATATGTAACTTTAATCATAAATATTTATTTTAAATCAATCTTTATAGATTTAATTGTAAGCGAAGAAACCGATTAATCATGTATTCCTAATACTTACTAAGCATTATAACCCATCTCCATAATTCATATTTGTTAACTCTGTCCAGTCCTATATCCAATTGTCTTGCAAGACTATGAAGTCCCGATGTCAGGTAGCGAACGATGTCGTTAAGAATTCTAGCAGAATTATGTACTATCTGTCTACGATTTTCGATGTCTCGTAGAATATCTGATATAAATTATATTAATAATTACTCATGAACATTTCATATTAAAGATATATGTAACATCCTTGGGTCAAAGTATAAACAGGATGTGAACAAAAAACCAAACATGGGAAGATTATAATCTCTTGCCATATGACCTTCGAGAACAGTTGGTAAACCAGTTATTAAATAATACCACGATTAAATGGACATAAAAAAAGAAATATATAAAGTATATTAAAGTAAAATACACTGGCTCGTTTTTTTGACATCATTAATATATTTTTTTGATATCTTGGCACTAAACTAAGATATAATTTAAAAGTAAAAAAATACCTGCTCTTACACGCTCCGTTTGAGTGGAAATAGCCGAAGGTAGTGTACGAAAATCTTTTCTCGCTACCGATATAGCTTGAGTTAAATTTATAACTCCTAAACTTTTTAGTTCCAGAAGTTGTTGTTCTTGCACGATCTAGAATTTTTTTTTACAAATAAATTGGTTTCCTTGCAAGTACATTGTGCTTAAGTTGAAGTTATTCACACTCACAGAATCCAACTTCATGGTTATATGTAAAGAATTTGTATTTAAAGTGTCACAGAGGGGAGCGTCTTTTTCAATACAATGTTTCTTAAGATTATCCAACTGTTGTATTAAATCCATTATCCTCTCTGATGCTGAATTTGCAAGAAGACCAGCTTTAACGCAAATGTCTCGAAGTGCTGACACTTTGGTTGATAAATCTTCACTTTCTGTAATATGTTTTAATAGTTTTTATAAAGCAATTGATGCCTATATCTGTTAATAAATTAAACTGTAAAAAAAATATCCATGATAATGTTATGCCAATAACAAATAACTACAAGAAGTTAATATTTATTACCAATAAATCAGTTTAACTTTTTTCTTCAGAGCATTTTCTCAATCTCATTGGATACTATACAAAAGTATGTCTAGTCTAGTGGCTATAAAATCTTTTCTTCACCTTATTTACTAGCTAGTTGAAAACTGTTATGTTGAAAGTAATGGAAAATCTTGAACAAAGAAAATGTGTTCCATTACTCTATAAAAGTATGAGTGTCATACAATGAAAAGCACCTCACAAATCGGTTCAAACATTTATATTTTATGATAAGTTAATTGTTTTTATCAAATATAGGTTCTATTTAAACTCATAGCATTTTTTAAAAATCATTATAGCACTGCGTATTACCATTCTTTTGCTTTTTAAGAGCTAAATAAATGTTTAGTATTACAATATAATTTTAATAAATAAATGGTTATAATATTATAATTTAATAAACATATCGTTTTTTTATATGCCTCTAACATCCAAAATAAATCTAGTATCATACGTTATAAAATAAGTCTTGTGCAGGTTGGCTTACGGCTCAGCTGCGGCAAGCCGGATTTGGCACGTTGCACACTATTGAATTTTACTTCAATAAGTTCTATGATGCAAAGCATGCTCATAACATATTATTAAGGATGCTAGTGTTGGAGATTTAACTAGTCCGTTTATTGTAGATGGATTATGTTTGAGTATATTTTATATTGATATATTTTTAAATTTTGGCATATTTCATGGATAGACTTTTTATTACTTTTATTCTACATTTCTATTACCTGTAATTATATCTGCTAAGGAATCTAGAACTAGATCAATACCGCTCTCAGAAGCAATTGCTTGTTGTATTGGTTCACCAAGAAGTCTTTCTACATCTGAAAATAATTTGTTATTTTTCATTATTTTTTTTAAACTTCACACTTTTAAAAACCTGTATAAAATAAGGAAAGTCGTTAAATATACAGAAAAAAAACTTGTGTGATAATGATTAAAGATTATATCGACTATAGTAGATTAATTCGTAAAGTATATTTTTATAGTTATGACGTCTTTATTGTATTTTTAAACAACTTTTTAATGCCTACGTATGTCAGTAACTTGTTTTCCTTATGTCAAAATAATGTCGATTAACGCCACTTGTATACAGTAACATCGTATTTCTTCCTCAGATGAGACTCGTTAAGACTGGTTTCATTGCAAAACATACACTTAAAGGGATTTATAAGATATGATATGGGCCATTAGAATGTTGTTCCGGAAACTTCAAGTTTTCCCTTCAAATAATAGGATTGGATTTTTTGCGATAGTCACTCCAAAAGGCTTCATCTTCCAGATAGAAAGAAATCCTGAATAGTTTAGGTAAACAAATTTACTTCTTATACATATAATAGCTTTTAAAGCATATTAAGACTATTTTTCATACTTCATTTATCGCAAGTGAAAAAGCTTTTTTATTATTAACAGTATGTATATTGCCTATACTTTATCTTTGTGATATGATTCTATGTTGTTTATAAAGTCCATGTTTATTTTAAATTCAGTCTTATAGCCTTAACTGGATATGCATACTTATTAACATAAATAAATTTGTGTCAAATGTTTTACCCCTCAAATCTTCATTGTAAGCATAATAAACCATATCCACCGGTGGTACGAGGCTGTGATGTAATTCTTGAGCCGCTGAAGACAGCCAAGCAGCTACATCAGCGCAGGCACAGCTAAATACGTTGCGACTTTCTGATATGGCTATGCGAGACTGCTCATTACTTAACACCATTCCCGATATTAAACCGCTGAAATTGTTATATTTATCATTGTATTATTTATTCTAACTTTGTTTTTTCATTCTGCATACATATATTAAATACTTGTTACAATTTTTAGCAAATATTTTTTATGTTGCTCAGTCAAATGATTATAATTATACAATAAAATATGATTACTATCCATCAATTCGTTTTGACTTTTAAATGGATATTTAAAAGTATATTAAAATAAATAGTAGTATGTACATATATATGTATCACGGGTTTTATTTTAATAATGAGGAAGAGGTTTTCTGTGCTAGCGATATCCTTATAGATATGGTGATAACGTTTATTTTTTAAACATTGCATATTGTAAAAATATATAAAGAGTTGTATTTAATTTAGTATCGTTACATAATGATAATGCATAATCGAATTATTTTTGTTTTTTTTTCTAAGAATTTACCTAGTTAACTGTGTACAAATCTATGCAGTTAGATTTAAAATCCATAGAATATTTTTTAATTAATATCTTTATTAGAATTCATATCATGGAATTTTTCAATATCTAGCATAGAGAACGGGATTAAAACATTACCACATTATTATGTGACACTTCGCCATAAATGAATTTCGTATATCTAATCGTAGAAGGATCCGACCTATCTATGCTTGATTGTATTAAGACTGTCTTTGCACTTGGGAAAATTGCTAGGACCGTCATTAGGAGGGCAATGTCGGTGATTCGATGTTCATGCCCAATTGTGTTGAGTGCTCTTAATTGGATAGAAGATAGTGTTCAAATTATAGTCAAGTCTTTATTTATTAGTAAATCGTTGGAGTTTCTAAATCCATTTTTTAATTATATTTAATAACAGATTTTGATATTTTTTTGTAATATACGAGGTTTAAAAATATTGATAAGATTGAAATGAGACTTGAGCAGGGGTTTTGTGGTGTCCGCAAGAATTTTGTTTCGATTCATTACATTTCTTGCATTAAGTGAACCCTTATGTCATGTTTTTGTTTTGGGTTTTATTATCATATATTATATTTGACTTATTAATTTGAAGGTTTGCTAACAGAAGCATTTATAATAACAAATTTATTACAAACTCAAGATAATTATATGCTTCTACCAACCTGTAGGAAAATAACCGTATCTCAAATTTGTTTATTAAAACTAGCCTTAAGCTTTTCCGGTATGTAAATTAAAAATCCCCAGCGAACACTTTTTATATTATGTTTAAAAACTTGATTTTAAATATTCCAATAGAAACTAGTTTCGTTGAATAAAGTTGTATGATCGCCAATTAAGTCATTTGTTTATAATAGCAAGAATGGTTAGGTATGTCATAGCAACTGCTGGTAGTGATATGAGTAAAACTCGGAAAATGTGTGAATAAATACTCACTATAGAGTAATGAAATATTTTTTTTACAACCAGAACAAAGAAGCATAAATAAATGTTTCCTGCGATACCAATACAAGCAAATCCAGTTATGCAAAGTAGATATATTGCTTAATTATGGTAAAATTACAATACTGTATATTTGTAAAAACTTGATCTATTAAATATTCGAACCTATGCCAACACAACTGGCATAAACATATAGATAAAAAATTTAAAGGTTAAACAAATAATTTGAGCAATTAATAAATAAATGCAACTTACCAACATATTAGAAGAAACAGGAATGTGAAAGTCACAAGTATTCTGTCGTGGCAATCTGGTCTTTCTTGTTCAAGAAATAAGGTTCCGGATTCAATTTCATCCGTGCATTTAGATTTTGAGAAGAGGGATATTAGACTAAGTATAAAAAGATACAATGGTATTACCAAAGCTAAGCATCCGAAGACTATAACGATTATTAAAAATGTGGACTCCACTTTTATTGCCTGGAAAATAAAGATAAAATCATTTATATATATGGAGTTTATTACTGTGACCAAAATAATATGAATACCTACATATTGAATAAGTCATAGGTATTGTAAATATAGAACATAATATGTCATATTGTAATTGTTGCCATTTTTTAATTCTCAGTTGAAATTACAAAGGATCATGATATAAATATCTTAACAATTTTTATTTTGTTTTTAATTTCAAACATTTTAGTTTAGAAATTTTGATTTTTTTCCGGATTTAGGTAGTCGTTTTACGTAAATAATTCTCTTTGAACACTAAAGTCTGGTTTTTATCGTTTTATGTTTAGTTACCTGGCAGCAATTAGCAAGGTATAAATATCAATCATTTATTAAATGTACAAGGTTTTTTATTTAGAAGTTTGATTGACAACAGCGCGTTTAGACGTAAAATATACTTGTGTATTTTAATAATCCTTCTGTATATTATGTTTATGTCAGTAAAATTATAAAGATCAGTAGTTGGGAAAAATATTGAAATTTATAGACAAGAATAGTTATTATTGTCTTTAGAAACAATGCTTTTTACAATTACGACTAGACAGTGAAGTGTATTTTTTGTAGACACGAAAATTTTAGTAATATATTAATAAGTCCTCAATATCCGTATACCTACCGCAGTCAGACAAGATCAATTTCAACATAAATTGTATAAAAAATATACTGTCAAATAGCGTAGGTATTTCACATTCTTAGATGGTGGTAAAAGGAACCATAAATTTTTAAAATATGTTCAGACCGAAATGTATCAGTATATTGTATCAACAAAGAAAGGGTCACTTAAGAATTTGTTATCCGCACTACCCGGGAATCTATACAATGATCCCAAATTCCTAAAATGATGTTAATATTCTGGTATATAAATAGTTGCAAGTCGTTAAGAAATTATATAATTTTATAATGTTGTTACTATAATTTAAACACAGATAACAGAGTTAAACCTTAAGTCGTCAATTTTTCAGTTTTATAATTGAAATGACATATTCTGTTAAAAGTGTCCAAAACAAAGTCTGTGTGCGAAAAAGTAACTGATTGTTACAATTGTAATTTGAAACAATATTATGAGAATTGGATGAAGAGCTATAAGTTTGTCACTATTATCTTTATCTTTAGCTAGTTGTAAAAACTCTTTTCAGTAGATTTTATAAGAATAATGTATGTATTATTTGGTAACGTTATAAGCATAATATTCTCTTAGCACAGTTTGTTCCAAAATCCTCTTATATTATTGTGTTATATTAATCAAAAACAGACGTCGTTAAGCATCCAATGTGATGACCTCTCATCTTATGACAAATAGACTCATCTGAATGGGACGAGATCTTTGTATATTCAAGCCATTTTGCGTAATATTTTTTGTGGCAAAGTTTTATTGATTAATATACTATATTTTCATTTATAATTTTTATAGCTCATTATTACTATCTCTTATTCAATCATTTTTATATTTCTATTAAAATCTAATTTTGGTTTCAAATACTACAACAACCGCTTAGTTAGTTTTGGATTGAAATAATGAGTATTCGGGGTTTTGATGTGTGAGTAGTGAAAATTTAAGAATCAGCTATTAATGATAGCTCTCATTTATATGTTAATAGCAAATATATAGTGGTGTACCAATGGCTTCAGAAATAATTTACTGTCTAGCATAAGAAAACTAAACAACATACAACGTTAACAAACACTATTATAAAGTTCGTCCATGAAGATGCCAACACAAAAAGCAATTATTTGCATTTATTTTAGGTCATATAAAATATTTTATAAATCGCAACCATTAACACCAGAGTTTGAGGTTATCGAGTTTCAGGAAGCGATCCTTTAAAATGTCAATGCCAATAAAGTCAATATTCCTTATCTGAGATTATTTTAAGAATTTTAGTAATATATGGCTTTATACAGTTAAATTTTAATTTGGTCACTGTTATAAAAAGTCCCTTAACTTTGTGAATATTTAAATTTTTTTTTTATCACCACATTCGAAAGATTTATAATGACTTCAATATTAAAAAAAAAAAAATCTTTTAGTTTCACTAAATCTATTCAACCAAAATGTTAATAAAATTTTGGCTTTCATAAATAATGTTATCAGATTTATTGAAAAATCAAAAACCCTAAGGGAAATAAAACAATTACCGGAAAAAGGAAAAGGCATTAATCTTATTTATATGTATATATACAGGAAACAAAAACTAAAATAATATGTGTTCAAGAGTGAAGAAATAAAAATAAAATTATTTGAGCCATACATTAATTATGCCAACACAAAGGCTGTAGGATATATATATAATAAAAATTATAATTTCATACATGACGTCCATTTATATTTAAATATTCATGCTGGATAAAAAGTGGCTTAATTTATAAATCGAGATCTCTAGTGTCGTATCAGTATATTATAGAAGCTTCATAACAACAATCGCGTCTCAAAAAATTGTGCTCATTCATTTTACAAAATGATTTCGCATAGTTTTTATAGCTTTTTAATATCTTTATTTATTTTATTTAGTGAAAGTTCCTCAAAGGTAGCACGTGAGTATCTTTTGTGTTCTCATTAAATAGATATTTAGTTATATATAAGTACTAAAATTTGTAAATTATATTTATAATTTTTAAATTTTCGTATATTATTAGTATAATTTACAAAAATTTTAGTTACTGTTGAGAAATAAATGTTGAGAAATAAATATATTCTGCACTAACTTGCTTTATATTGATATATTTTCTCAATATATTGCACCTACGTATTTAGAAACTTATAAAATGAATAAATTAACGTTCTTATTTTTGCCCTCAAAATAATATTAAATAACCCTGACTTTTTTGTTAAAAAAAAAACATCTACCTATTTTTTTCTTTTATATTATTTTTCTTAATATTTTTAATATGCGGACGAATGCTGCGGTGTTTGTCTTTACTCTAGTTATAAAGATTATTATATGACATAAATGTAACTTTAATATAGAATTCATAATCTTAACACTTTAATGTATGTTTTGTTAAATAATAAATATTCAATTGTGTTTTTTTTTATATTTCAGCGGATTATATAGTGCCATGTCCAGGGCTAAAGTCGGACTGCCTTAAAAAAAATATTCAGGAAACCATCCCACTATTTGTTCAGGGGATCCCAAGCTTAGGCATTAATTCCACAGACCCTCTCATAAGAGATAAAGTCAATTTAGACCTACCCGGAGGTCTCAAGATAGAATTCTATGATGGAGTGCTTACTGGTTTCAAGAAATGTATTGTGGATTCCGTAAAGTAAGATTTCTTTTTTACTGTATGGAATTAGTTATTACATTATAAAAAAATCCTTGTATAATAGTATCGTATCTTGACTAGTTTTGAGGTATATTTTATAAACTGAAATATTTCTTTGAAATGAATGTTGGCCTAAGTCGGCAAATTTCTGGGTCAATAAAGACTTTTTGTAGATTTAATTTTGTTATTTTAAATTGATCTATCTACGCTATAATTATATCTCTTTATAATTATCTAAAAGTTTTAACAATTTTAAATATAGTATGAAAATATTCCTATTATATGAACGTATGTGTATTGTGTACATACATATATCTGTAGCCACTTTTTAAATATCCATTGAATTGAATGTTTACGGTGCATTATAAAATTCTTAACATTGCTTTGCAATCAGTCAGTAAATGCTATGAATAAAAAATGCAACTTTGTAACAAAATAACATTTTGAGACATCTCAGACTAGTTCTGCTGGCTGTTTAAAATAACAGTTTTGCGAAATTTAATTATTAATTGTATACGAAAACTTTGCTTGTTCTTATTGAATATTTTATATTCTAATTTATCGTTTCCAGATATGAAAACCTCCAGGCAGAACTTGATTTACATTGTAATTTAAATTTAAAAGGCAAATACAGAGCAACTGGTAAAGTACTGCTATTTTCTATAAACGGAGATGGGGATGCCAAAATTAAAGCGCGTAAGTTAAACATAACATGTTGAATCAATAGAAATAAAAATCTTTGAACAAATGATCTACTGATTTTATCGATGTTTTGTTATTTTGCTTGTACTTTTTCGTGTACATAGATCTAAAAGTAGTTCCTTATTTACAGATGAAACATATATGAATTGTAAAATACGTTTTGAGGACCGAGTAAGAAATGGAATCGAGTATCGTGAAATAAAAGATTATAAAGTGAACTACCGTCATGGTCAAAAAGTATCATTTGTCTTTACCAACCTCTTTAAAGGAAATCCCGAATTAAGTAAGTATCATGATAATTCTTTTTTAAGAATATTTATTTAAATTTTCTTTTTTTAAATCTGGTAAAAAATAACGATTAACACAAGTGTCTTGCGGACACAATTTTGCGTTTAGGCTGTTATAAAAACTAAAGTATTTATTTTTATGAATCTTCACTTTTCTTTTTTTAAGAATATTTATTTAAATTTTCTTTGTTAACGCTGGTAAAAAATAAATATCTACGCAAGATTTATATAATAATTTATACAATTAATCACAAAATATATAAATATATTTTTAATTAAAAGCCTTGTACTGCAAAATATGTATATTTTCTAAAAAATATACATATATATATATACAAGTATGTATCTGTGTACACGGAAGTCCTTGGCGAAGTTTACAAGTCCAAAGCACATTAATGTTACATATAAATAAATTAATGTTATTATCACATTCATTAATAATCATTCTTTTTTACATTTCCAATATAATATTATTTCAAAACAACATCATATAAATGCTAAGGATTTGAAGATAATGAAAAGAGGAATACCTATATTCAAGAACGATGTTCTTACACTTTTCATTATTTTGCACACTTTTATATTTTTTGAATAAACGTTGAAATAAAGAGTATGTTAGACGTATAAATTACATGTGGCTTATCACATTGTATGTAACAGAGATGTTGCTATTGTATTAATACAATATTTTTGAGCAAATTTTATTTCTGTTTTGTTCAATTGAAAATGAAAATGAAAATGATAATAACTGTTACTTGCTAAGAACAGATACTTTCAAAGTATCTAAATCGTCGTTTTGTTTTTGTCAATGTGTTTAAAAGGTTATAATTCTAAACAAATATATGGTTATAAAATAGTCTGCTAAATGTTTATGAATTGTTAGTGCTACAAACCAGAAAACAGTATTATTATTAGTGCTTCGTTTTACGGTTATAAGTTTATAAAAGAAATAATTGTGTGATAGATTTGCAAAATTTTAAAAATACTTGTGCAATTGTAAAAAAAAATGGTATAAATCATCATGATCACGATAAATTAATCAATAAAATTACTTTTACTGAACGGCTTTTCTGACAGACAATCTATTTGTATCGGTATAAAAAATTAAGAGTTACATTCTTATTTTGAGGGATAATGAATATGTAAAAATAAAAATGTGTGACATTAATCTGATTGAGCATTTTAGAGTCCTTATGATAAAATAATTAGTTTAAATTTATCTGAAATTTTAATGGATTAATTATAGTCCGACCATATTTAAATAAAAAGTAGAATTATATTTTTCATTATAAAACATGTAAAAAGAAATAATATGTGTGTTTGAATTTTTAAGAAAGTATTTTAATTGATAATAATACTTATATTAACTTTGTTTTTCAGGTGAAACTGTCCTCAACTTCTTGAATGATAATTGGAAAGAGATTTTGGATGAATTTGGAAAACCTATAATAGAAACTATTATTAAAATCACATTTAACGGCATTAAAAAATTCTTCCAACAGGTCCCAAAGAGTGAAATTTATGTCGAATAAGTTTTAGATCGTGATAGTTAAGATAAAAGAGTTTTGTAAAAAATTAGTTTTTTAATAAATTTTATTTTATTAGTACCTATAATTCATTCAAGTATTTTGAAAATAAACTTTAGCTTTTCTGTAGTATTATGTTCATAGTATTGTAATCCTTACCTAATTCCCAGCCATTTTACTGTCATATTTCCTAAGACCAGATTAGAGCCAGTAGCAATTCTATTATTGAATTAAGGTTTTTACTCGGAACATGTATAATTTCTATTGATTATTTTATTAGTTCTACGCATGTTTTGAAAATAGTACATAAATGTCTGTGTTAAAGGTTTATATTATGCACACTATAGACGTGAAATTACAAGTCAAAGTTATTTTAAAAGAGACATCTAAGATTGAAACAAAGGGATGTTTTGAGGTTAACCATTATATGAGATCAACAATAGTTTGGGCAATTTGCCCACTTTTCAAAAGTTTTTAAACAAAAGAAAAGATAAATTCAAGAAATTTTAAACTAGCTTAGTTTTTTTCCTTTTTAAATAATATTTATTTACCTGTAAAAATGAGTAGGGAAACGTAAATCTTCCTCTGACAATGTCCTTTACAACACCTAAGAATAAAACAATTTATGTAAACTGAGTATATAAATAACAAAATTGTTAATAGTATATTGCTTCCAGTAAGTATAAGAGTTAAACTTAAAATTAACGTTAATTTTTATATTAATATATCATTATGTAAAATTTAAGATGATTTAATTTAAATATTCATTTACTTACCCACTGGATATTCAAACAAATAAATAACTGAAAAAACTTTCGACATAAAATGGAACGGATAAAATCCTTCATCCAACTTAAATTTTGGTATTAAATATGTCTGCATTTGTGGGAGACTGCTAAACTTAATTTTACTGTCGCTTTCTTTGGGGTTGTACCAATCATCTGTGAAACTCGACTGGAATATACTTTCTGTCACAACTCCCGAACTGATATCATTGTCATACGAGACGGTGTATTGATTTATTTTTATATTTTTCGTTATTGGTATAATAGGCACTTCACTAGTTTTACTTGTAGATGTAATTAGTTCGGTACTACTTGAAAGTACTAGGTCTTCATTAGTTGCAGTTTTATAGACATTATAGTTTTCTAACCACGATTTTAATGTGGATGTATTATTTTCTTTCAAAGAGTTCCTTTTACTTAAGATATTTCCAGCTGTTTTCATGTTTTCAGTTTCCAAGCCAATCCTTTTGCTTTCATCACTAAACCTTGTGGATTTGGTTTTTGAATCATCTCTAAATACAGTTTCATAGCAATTATCCCAAATAAGATTTAATGCTTTTTTGGCTTGTATGTTATTGCTACCAATTACACTGCTTGAAGTATTATATTTTGCGAAGTGCACCTCAGTCTCTTTATTTTCTTGATTTTTATCATCATTTTCTGCGGTAGTCGTTTCTCTAATAGGGTTATTTGACAAGCTTGACTGGAAATTTTCTTGCGGTACATTAAGGAAGTGAGTTAAGACGGTGCCGTCGAAGGTATTCAGATTGTTTCCGGCAGAGTCCGCAGGCGTCTCTTCCGATGTCGTCTGGATTTGTCGGATTTGCAAGGCAAAAACGGAATCTAATAAAGACGATTGCGTCGTCTTTTCCTCGCTTACAGAGTTACCATCCGTTTTTAAAATAACAAGGTTTGCCAGCAGTATTGCAAACATAAATGTATTAGATGACATTTTTAATATTTTCAGTAGTAGTTGTGTTCGCGTCGTATAATTGTTAGTTACGAAGGAGTACTGCGGTGTGGGGCATTGAACAGGGGATTTGAAGCACTTGTCAGTCTGCCGACTCCACTTACTGGATTATGAGAAGTGTAATCAAATACATACAACTCGTCAAGGCAGAGCTTTAATAAAAGTAAAAACAGATTCAACTGTAAATTAAATTCAATAAAGCCAAAATAATTTAAAACCTACCAAGTACTTTGACTTCAAATGTAAATATATGATAATTTGTAAACCTTAATTTAAGTATCAAAAATAAATTGCAGATATTATTTTTGGCTATTTAGAAATGATAAAAACATAGACAATTTATGTAATTGTGTGTAATAATGACATATTTTCGTTGCCGTAATGTATTTTAAAAATAAATGAGTTTTTTCTCTAACTTCTTCATTACTCTGTGAACCTAAGCAGCAAATTTATTAATACAATTACTTGTATTGAAATAGAAATAGTGATTATGCATTGATTTATATTTATTTTCATTTTCTATATGAAAAAGATTGTGTACTTATTTTCATTTCTGTTTGTCTAATTTTTATATGTCGTAAGTTTTCAGGAATGTTTGTCTATGTACATATATGGCAACACTTAATAGTTCAGCTTACAGTAAACAGTTAAATATCGAACAGTTGTAGGTTAAATATTTTAGATAAGAACTTAGTATAATGAATGGAAAAATTAATATTATAATACAGTAAATTAATATGCAATAAAATTAATAATGGAAGTCTATGGTTAGCTGATTAGTTATGTCATATAAATTTTTTTTTTAAGACATTTATAACATTTATTGACAATGTAATGTAACATTGTGTTTTGAATAAAATATTATATTTAATAATAATCCTTTCGGCCCATGGATAGTTATGCACCCGCATTTTTATGAAAACGTCTTTCCTGAATAATTTATTTAGTTGACTACGTACGCTCTATCGTATTGAAATGCACATATCTCTTGAATTTTATGTACAATTTTATTTAAATGTAGTTTGAAATATTTAATAGGTTTGAAATGTCTTTTTAAATATTCGTAGTCTTTGGGTTTTATTCGTTTTTTGGAACCACCCAGTGTCTGAAAAAAGGCACAAGTTATACATTATGTGCTTAAATAACACCTGGGAAATTGGTTCGAGAATTTGAAATATAAAATGGAATAAAATAACAGTAATAGAATATTATAATAAATAAGATGAGAAAATAATGTAACAACTGATCCTAAAATAGCCGTTCTTCAAAATTATAATTCAGATAAAATGAAACCTTTATGTTTACAATTTCGTAAAAGAAAATGGTTTCATAAAGTTTTTATTTTATAATATAATTGCATCTTGTTATTTTAAAACATTTTTAATAAGCCTGTGATGTCAATTAGTATATTGTAGGCCCAGCGTTTCAAGCATCAGCCATCTTCAACCATTTCTACAAAATTCAAAGTATCATAAAATAACTTAGGATATACATAGTAATATCGACTTTAAATATAAACTACTCCAAAGTTGTATTTTGTTCGTTGCATAGCAAAGAAAAACGAGGGCGCGTGACCGTTACGATATGTATATGTGTTATGTCAACATACTGCTTTTCTTTTGGGCTTTTTTTCCGAGATTGTTTTAAGGTAAATCGACCACTAGTGGCTGGGTTAAGAGAAACAGGTCAGCGGGTCTCTGTGGCGTGTCATCACTTCACCATGAGATAGTTATTTTCGTCTCCGGTAATTTTAATTACAGACGTTATTATAGACGTTATTAATTATTATTTATAAATTTTACAATTTTTAATTACGAAAAGTTTAGTTATAACGTTCATTTTAAAGAATATTCTGTTCACAATAATATTTATTTTAATCTTTGAAACAATCGTTAATATATCAATTAGTCTCTTAGAAATGAACTAGATTCACATTTGTGGAATAATGTTTATTCTGATTCATCACCATTTGTCCCCTTGAAACCATTAAGGGTTAGAGAAATCAATCACTCACTTATAGTGAAAAAAATTACCTCTCAGATTTAAAGTATCTACTTTAGATTTCCTTTTTTGTATATATCCTTTACTTTTAGTATAAAAAATAACAATATTTTATTTAAAATATTTATACGTACAATTAATTAGTACTTTTGATTTACTGATAACTTTGTAATCAATCAAATTGATCGTAACTTCCAGATTTTGAAATATTCCCTTATGGTTGGGACAGAAAAATAAAAAATGCAAAATATAGAAATGTTATGTAGAAAATAATTTTAAGCCTTACTGTATTAAAATGGATTGTATTTGCATAAAAAATATACAGAATTGCATTTGATTTAAAGCATAATTACATACCTAAACCGTGTGTGTAAAATTTTAGCAAAAAGTTCTTTAAACCGGTAGAAGGTAAATTTGGCTGAGTTTTAAGGCATTTTCTAAATATAATTGGCTTATTAGAAAATATAGTCTAGCAGATATTGATAAAATAAAAGCAAACCAATAGTATACTAAAAATAAGATGAATTTGTACATATTTTACTTCATTTTTAAATCTTTTTTTAGTTAAGCACAGGTTTTACACTATAATATAATCAAATAATCAGTTATGAAAATAATTTTAAAATTGTATTATTTTTTGTTATAAATTACGGTATAATTATGGTCATAAAATGTACTCATTAATTTATATTATAAAATACAATAGACAAAAAAGTACAAATAAAAATAATGCATAAAAAAAACTACAATTGAATCAAAAGTGCTAACCATTAACAATGACACTTTAAACTTTTTTAAAAATATAACGTAGTATGCGGTCATCTAAACAGGTGTTAAAATATTAATTACAGTGTTCACACCTAAATCCGTAATCATAGTTGAACACAGCTTAAAGCTTAATTTTTAAGAAGACTTGTTATTTCACATATACCAATAAAAGTATAGTGCAGCATGAAACCATTGACAAATACAGAAATGTGATGAATTTGGGAAGATTAAATAACTCATATAACAATCAAATTAACATAACATATATTAAAAAATTACTATCAAAGAATGGTACAAAGCACAAATAATTTGTTCTGCAATAAGTCAAGAAGCCGATAATCTGGGGGGGCATGAAGATTGAAGAATCTTTCAGATATGCTATGAGGCGTTAAGGCTTTAAGAAAATTATTTCTGTTAGAGAACTAGTGTGTTTGGAATTTATAAAACATTTCACAAATTATTGAGGTTTTGTATAATCTTGAATTTTATACTCAAGGCAATCAATTTTTGAAATATATTATAAAGTCTTGAAATTATTTAAAATCCTTTATTTCATCAATATGTCAAATAAAAGGTTTTTAGTATTAAAGCATGTAGTTTCCTTCTAATATTTTATACTTAGTATCTTGAAACTTAAATTCGTCACATATTAATACCTATCAGGAGGCAATCAATGAAATGGAATTTTAGCTTAGATATTTTAGAAATGACCGAAGATTTATAGGCAATTTCCTTTAATATCTCAGTTTGAACTTAGTTTGTGAGATTTAATTTTGAGTATTGCGCAGGCCGATTTTAGATGAGTAATGAAACTAATTATGAAGTTTGTAATTGCTTCAATTTAATACAATTTTGTGAGCTTATCTCATATTAAAAATAAGTTTAAATTTATTGTTTCAAAAATATTTTTAACATAACAGAATGTTTCACTTGTACCTTTGTTTTGATATAATATTTTGAAAATCTCTTATTTATTTATGAAACTAAAAAAAAGAAAAATTCGTTTCATATTTTTATATTTTGTGGAAATCAACATTTTGAAGACGCTCAAAATTTTTTGCAGTAAAATCCTAACAGCATTAATGTTTGATGTTTTTAAAAACGATAATTAAAAAAAACAGATTGTTGTTCAATTTGATTGAATATCTCAACGAAACTGTTAGCTCAAATTGTAACAGACATTATAGAGTTCAGGACAAGTTTATTCCTCATGTGGAATGTCTATATGAAACTTCGGTGAGACCCATTCAATAGAAAACTAAATGCTTTCTGCTTGAATAGAAAGTTTAACGAACGAAATGTAAACATTGGTGCAAAACAGAAATAAATTCAAACAGTGATTTTTTGTTTATGTCTAGTCTATAAAGAAATTATGAATAATTTGTTCTTGAAATTTATGTGTGGAAAGGAATCAGTCCGACTGTTTTTAGTAACTATTCAAATTAAATGTGTTACAATATCTTATTCTTCACAGTTCCATGAATTTTCAGGATCAATAGGAGCTTATATTCCATCAAAATTTATGAATTACATTTTTTTATGATATTATTGATAATCATTTAGTAGATTTTAGTGTGAAAGAGTTATAACAATCTATGTATTTATACATATCTTCACATTTATAATAACAGTTGACTTATTTTGTCATATTCCCCTTACGCCCAGAGAAAGAAATTTTAGATTTCTCGTTTAGAAAATTTTTCTTTAATTTCCCATAATGATCAAATAGTATTCATTGTAAACTATATTACATTTTCTACATCTTCCGTGATAAAGCATACAGAGCTTTTATCTAGGGAGTAAAATAGGTTTTCAAACTGGGAAAATAATGTTAGAGACGATCGCACCGATTCGTCTTGTTCTTACAATCGTTAGTCTCTGTTAGACAAGATTTCCACGCACGCCTTTCTGATGTCGCAATTTTAAAAGAAATATATCAATATATATATAAATATTATGTGTTTTATCAAATAGCAGTATTAATACCATGTAATGATAATGTCAGATTTTAGATAACTGAAAAATTGTAATAAAAATTGCGCAGCAATTCAGTTACAATTTTTTATGAAGCTTGGTCTAGTCACTTTAGTTCGACTTTGTGTGCAAATTTAATTAATCCTCGCGGTAAGCCTTAAGCTATTGACATACGGCTTGGAATTCACGAAACCTAATTAAGAAGTCAAACGGTAGTACAAACTAGATTTAATTACAGT